ATGTTTCTAATAACTTCCATTTCTTCTAGGTTGTCCACTTTGTTGTATAGTTGTTCATAGTAGTGTCTTATGGTCCACTGCCTTTCTGTCTTATCAGTTGTAACGTCTCCTTTTTCATAATTTTGTTGACTTGCATTATCTCTTCCTTGGTGAGTCTAGCTAAAGGTTTGTCAGCTTTTCTCTATTTTCCTGCTATTTCATTTATTTCTTCTCCAATCTTTATTATTTCCTTCTTTCTGTAACTTTGGGCTTTGTTCTTTTCCTACTTTCTTAAAGTGTAGGAGTAGCTTATCTATTTGAGCTCCTTCTTGCTTCTTAACATGGGCAATTATTGCTATGAAGTTCCCTCTTAAAACTTGTTGCTGCATTCCATTAAGTTTTGGTGTGTTGTATTTCTGTATTTTGTTTGCCTCAAGATACTTTATTTTTCCTTTGATTTCTTTGATCCATTGGTTGCTCAGGAAAATGTTAATTTCCATGTATTTGTGAATTTTCCAGTTTTCCTCCTACTACTGATTTCTAGTTTCATACCACTGTAGTCAAAGAGGATATTTGGTATGGTTCCAGTCTTCTTGAATTTGCCAACACTTGTTTTGAGACCTAAGATATGGTCTCTCCTAGGAAATGCCCCATGTGTGCTTGAGAAGAATGTCTATTCTGCTGTTGTTGGATGGAATGTTCTAGATGTCAGGTCAAATTGATCTATAGTGTTAGTCAAATCCTTTTTTTTTTTAAATATTTATTTATTTGACAGAGACAGCAAGAGAGGAACACAAACAGGCGGAGTGGGAGAGGGAGAAGCAGGCTTCCTGCCAAGCAGGGAGGCTGATGTGGGGCTCGATCCAAGGACCCTGGGATCATGACCTGAGCCAAAAGCAGACACTTAATGGCTGAGCCACCCAGGCACCCTCCTCTTTTCCTTTATTGATGCTCTATCTGGATGATCTATCCATTTTTGAGTGTGGGGTATTAAACTTATCAGCTATCATTGTATTGCTGTTTATTTCTGCTGTTAGCTGTTTTTGCTTTTATATATTTAGGTGCTCCAACGTTGGGTGCATAAATATTTACAAATATATCTTCTTGATGGATCAACCTTACTATCATTATATAATGGCCTTGTCGCTTTTTACTGTTTTTAAAGTCTGTTCTTTCTGATATAGCTACCCATGCTTTTTTGTTACCATTTGCTTGAAATATCTTTTTCCATCCCTTCACTCTGAGGCAGCATATCATTGGATCTTTTTTTTCCCCCAATCCATTCAGCCATTCTATATCTTTTGGAGGATTTAATTCATTTACATTTAAAGTAATTATTGATAAATAAGGACTTACTACTGTAATTTTGTTGTTTTCTGGCTATTTCGTAGAACTGTTTCACCTTCTTTCTTATCCTGTCTTGTGTGTGTTCTGATGTCTTTTGTTATCTGTATGCTTCTTTATCATGTTCTTTTGTGTGATTAGCGCAGGTTTTTCCCTTGTTAAAAAATATCTTCTAGTTATAACACCCAAACTGATTAACAACTTAACTTCAATAGCACTCCTAAACTTTATACTTTCACCCACACACGTTAGCTTATTGATGTTGAAGTTTACATTTTTATATTGTATATTCAGTAACAGACTACTGTAGTTGTATTTTTAAGTTTTTAAACTTTTTTAAAAATTTATTTATTTTAGAGGGTGCAGGGTGAGGGGCGGAAGAGGGAAAGGGAGAGTCTTAAGCAGACTTCACACTGAACACAGAGCCCGACTCAGGGCTCAGTCTCACGACCCTGAGATTATGATCTGAGTTGAAACCAAGAGTCAGACATTTAACCAACTGCGCCACCCAGGTGCCCCTAAGTTTTTAAACTTTTACACTAAAGTTGAAGTACATTATGCACAACTATTATTATATTATAAATTCTAATTCTGACTATATGTTTACTATTACCAGTGAATTTTATGTTTTTTTTAAAGACTTTATTTGACAGAGAGAAACACAGTGAGAGAGGGAACACAAGCAGGGGGAATGGGAGAGAAGCAGGCTTCCCACCAAGCAGGGAGCCTGATGAGGGGCTCAATCCCAGGACCCTGGGATCATAACCTGAGCTGAAGGCAGACACTTAACGACTTAGCCACCCAGGCACTCCGCTACCTTCTTATTTATGATGCTAACTAGCATCCTTTTACTTCCACTCAATTCCCTTTAGCATTTCTTATAATGAAGGTCTAGTGATTCCTTGTTTTAGTTTGTTGTTTATCTCTCCATTTCTGAAGGACAGCTGTGCCAGCTATAGAATTCTTGACAGTTTTTTCCTTTCGTATTTTGAATATATCATCCTGTTCTTTCCAGGCCCGAAAAGTTTTTGTTGAGAAATGCATTCATAGTCTTATGGAAGTTGTTACATATGTAACTTCTTTATTTCAGAATTTGACTTTTGACAATATGTGTCTCAGTGTAACATTATAGGTTCTAGAGTTCTTTGGGTTTCAGGGATCTAGATAGATATTCATTTCTCTCTCCAGGTTTGGGAAACTTTCAGCCCTTTTTTATATTTTCTGTCTCATTCTCTTTCTCTTCTGGAATTCCCATAATGCAGTTATGCTCTTCATTTTGCTCTTCTGACTAGATAATTTCAAATGTCCTGTCAACTAGGTCACTGATTCTTTCTTCTACCTGGTCAAGTCTGCCTCTGAAGCTCTCTACTGAATTCTTCAGTTCAGACTTGTATTTTTCAGCTCTAGGATTTTTTAATGGTTTTTGTTGTTGAACTTATTTTGTTCATGCATTATCTTGCCAATTTCATTTGGTTGTGCATTCTTGTAGTTCCTAAACTTCTTTAAGGGGGTTCTGAATTTTTTGTATAACAATTCCTAGATCTCTATTTATTTAGGGTTAGTTATCAGAGCTTTATTAGTTTCTTTTGGCAGTGTCATGTTTACCTGATTTTTTGATTCTTGATTCCTCATGTTGCTGAGTAAGTGGTCTTCTCTTCCAGACTTTACAGGTTTGCTTTAGCCAAGACAGTTCTTCCCAGGCGGCTGTTTGGGTTTCTGGACATGTCTGCTAGTAACATCCTTGGGCAATGGAACTTGCTATTACAGCAGTCTATTTTGGGGCAAGGAAACCTCTGTGTGCTGCTGCCTGAGAACAGTTGGATAGGACTGCTGGGTTGGTTCTCTGCCCAAGTGAGGCTTTAGGAGGGGCTGTGCAGTTGCCTGAGGTTTCTGGTCAGGCTTACTAGATGGTTGGCTGGCTGGGTACTAGACTTAGCAGTTGGTGGGGCAATGAATTCACTTCCCTGAACTGGCAGGGCAGCAGGACAGGCCCCAAGGCCTGCACAGCTTGTTTGGGGACTCAATAAGATTGTACATTGATTTGGTGGCCAGATGGGGCCACCAATTTTGCTCTGCAGACAGGGATAGAGCTAGGCTGTGCTTTCTGTTTAAATGCCACTGTAAGAAGGGCTGTTGGATGGGCTACATAGCTTCCTGTGTGCTTTGGCTAGGTTTCCTGGTCATATGGGCTGAAGGCTGTGTTCAGCAATGACTAGGGCTATGAGTTACCTTCCCTGCCCATGCAGGGCTGGAGAACTGGCTCAAAGGCCTAAAAATCTCTATGTGGTTGACTCAAGCTCCCTGGCTATACAGGGCCACTATCTTTGCTCTGCAAGCTGCACCTCCCTGCTTGAGTGTTGCAGGGCTATGCAGCTTTCTAGGTGTTCTGGACAGGCTTTGATCAGGCAGGACCAGGAGCTACACTCGGGTGTGGTCCAGGCTATGCCTCAGCTCCCCTGCCTGAGCTGAAGCAAACCAGACTGCAAGGTTGGCAGGGCTCTTTGAGGACCCCAATCAGGCAACCTGCTGTGTTCCCTAGTCTGACTGCATCTCTGTTTTGGCTCTGCAGATAAACAAAATTAAAGGTTGGGACTACTACTTGGACACCGCAGGTAGGAACCTGGTCTGCCAAGATCCACGTGTTGGTTGCTTTAAGCTCTTCCCTTCTCAATCAGTCAGATTCCCAGTGGTCAAGCCCTATCGATTCCTTGGCAATCCCCATGGGTGAGACCAGCATGGGGGCTCCCAAGAAGTGACCCACAATGCTGGGGGGGTGCTGGATTCCACCCTGGATTCTCTTTTCCCATTTGAGGAACTGTACAAAGGCTCAGGGCAGACATTTTGGTGTGGTGCTACACCAGCCTGGTGGAGGGGTAGTACAGTCAGCATGTAGCTGTTCCTCATGTCCTAATGCAATGTGTCTGGTCTCTGGGGTACAAGGGGCTGCAGCCTCACTTCCATGTTCTAGGACTTTCTCCATAGTGTCTTATCTGTGAATAGTTAATTGTCGTTCTTGTAAGAGGAAGCCAAGTCAGGAACAACCTATGTTGCCATCTTGGTAACATCCCATCTACTCAGCCTTTATCAGACTCATCATATGTCTGCCTCAGGGATTTATTTGCAGTTTAATAAGGAAAATGCCTGATATGTAACAGGCTCTGAACAAATATTGGCTCCTTCCACAGTTTAGCATAGCATTCCATTCTTCCTTCACCAAATACAGTGCTTTATATACATCTCATTACTGATTTTCCTGGCACTTATGCCCACACTCTGCTGCTGAGTACACTTCTCTGCCTAGTAAGCTCCTATGCATCCTTTAAAACCCAGCATGAATACCAGCCTTGTAAAGCCTTACTAGACCACCAAATTTTCAGTCCCACATTGTCCCATGTCATCTAGCTCCTCATTCTTGCATAGTACTCCTCATACTGCACTTACTTGTTTACACATTGGCCTGACCGACCCTGAAGGCAGACTCAACTAATTCCTAGTTCAGAAGTGTTTGATGATTTAAAAATCAACATTAAACATACTGCCACTGTAAAGTAGGAATGGGAGCTTAAATGAATCTCCCAGTTCAGCAGTACTATTCCTATAGCTTCCAGGAACGTTAAGGAAACTTAAGTTTCACAGTACTGTGATCTTAAAGCCTCTCTCATCTTCTGACCCACCAGCTACCAGCTTAAGAAGCACCTGTCCCACCTTCTGCAGATGAAGGAGCTTGGAGCCAGAGATGTGGACAAATGGAACCAAGAGTGCCTGGCATTGCTGCTCCAAATTTGGAGGAAGGAACTGGAACTAACCCCCCCAAAAACCACTGAAGTAACCAGGACCACCAAGAGTTCATCCAAGGGCAGCTCAGGCACAAAGTCCACCAGGCACTCGGTACTCAAGCAAATCTATGGTAATTGTCCTTTGGGCACTCTGTAGTTGACAAGCACCCCAGAGTGTTGCCTCAGTATCTGAAATGGCATTTAATTACAATGGGCAAACCTCCATTCAGGTAGGAGCTTTCTTATTCTACTTCCAGGCACTAAGAGAATCCTCAGCACCCACACTCAGTGCCTCCCCTCCAGGAATTCTGGGTCAGAATTGGTTTCATGATGCATTCTGGCATCTCAGCCCCAAGAGCCTTCCAGCCAAGAGGTCTGCTGGCCTTCATTACTGAAAGCCTCATCCTTTAAACTCCTCCAGACCACTGCTTGGGTCTTCCCCTTCCATTACCCATTTGGAGGGCTCCAGGAGCAGGAAGACCTTGTCTGCCTCACTTTGACTTTTCTTATGCTAAGATAGTACAGGGTTGCCCTGCTGTGGGAATGCCCCAGACCCATGCACTACAGTAAATACTTACTCAGCAGATGAGCTGCTTTAAATTGAGACATTTTCAGCTCTGGAAAAAGCCCATCCAAATAAACTCAGCAGAGAACAAGCCTGGCTAGCTCCCCCAAAGAAAAACGTTGAGCCAAGGCACCTTTAGGAACAGACCTACAGCCCAAACAGCAAAATTTCAGGACCTTACCCTTGGCCTACATGGTATTTCCACACCATACCTAATTTATCTTGGCAGATACCAACAAGCTCAAGCCTTTACCTCAATAAGGAACTTAGAACTTGGTTAGGCTGTAGCTGTCATGGTCAGAGAGAAATGATCACTGGTGGTTGATTTCAGGTTGTTCTCAAGAAGGGAAAGTACCTCATCCCACGAGATCTTCCAGAGCTCATTCTGTGCTACGTCTCAATTCAGGTAAGGTAGCCACTGCACTGGCAAAACAGATTGGGGAGATGATGTGGGGAAGCATTTGCCTTATTTCATCCTCAAAGGTGGAAGATAAAACAACAGATTGCCAGGGGTTTCCAATGGTCATTTGATTTGAGGTGTGTGTATTTTTCATTCCCCTTTCATGGAATTATTACTGCAGTCAACATATCTCCATAAGAGGCAAGTTATTTTCACAACCACAAGTTATTGTTAACATTACCTCCTGTAGAGACAATAAATGGGACCTATTATTGATCACTTTTACATACTTGTTCACATAAAGGAAAAGGGAAATGAAAATACTTTCATTCTTCAAAGACCTTGGGGAATTGTTGCTCCATATTGGTTTCACATTAAGATTCTTGAGAAGTTCCTTAACCACAAACTCTGGCTTTTGCCTTTCATGGCCCTATGAGGAGGACATTTAATATTTAATAACATGTCCTCAGGCTTCACTGTGCACAATTTCACTAATACAGAAACTCAGGGAACTTTCTTTTCAGCCATAAGACAAGAGTGTTTTACTCAGGGCCCCCTTCATTCACACAAGCATTAAATTTGGGTGATAAGTTCAGTGCTGTCAGCAGTTAATGTCAGATCCAGTGTTGCTCATGGGTGGCTATGGTAACACAGTCCCCCCACCTTTGCCAATCTAGTCATCCTGCAGAAACAGAGTGCAGCTGGGAAGGTGAACAATGACTGTCAGCATGAACTTTAACATTCATTTAGTTTTTGATGGGGAGAAAACCTGGAGGTGGGGGACAGTAATTACTGCCCAATCTTTAATAAGAGTTGGGCAACTCATGTAATATAGGCAGGCTGATCAGGGAGTAGTGGGTAGGGTAGTTACAACTGTAGACCTTGATTCCTTTGAAAGTATCCACATAAAAAAGAAAACTTTTATTATACTCGAAAGAACTGAAAATTAGTTTCAAAAACCATGGTCAAATGGAACTACCAGAGAAGTAGCATTTAGATAATCCGAACAATTTTGTACTTTGTCTCAAGAGAAAAATCCAGGACTATCAGAAATCTTAAAAAATGAAGAGCTTTAGAAGCACAAAAGGTTTAATTAAAGGGCAGAATAAACAAATTCAAATACTTAGTGGTTTCTTGGGATTTCACATAAGTAGCTTATTTGTCCTACATGTCTAATTCTGACTGACTTGAAAACAGACAAGGACTGAAGAAAATCTTTTCCTAACGCTAAACTTGGGGGAACACAAGGTTTTGTTAAGTCCACCCATCCACATTAAGCATTAACCAGTGAATCAAGCTGATTGTCAGGGCTAACTAACTAGTTTGTGTTTTATACACAAAACACATCTATGAATAATTTCCATGGAAATGGGCACAGAGATTTCTGCAGTGTAGTATCACAGATGCCAAACTGAACCAAGAAGATAACATTAATCTTGGTCTTCTCCATGAATAAAAATGTTAGTTCATTTTTTCGCTTTTCTGATTTGTTCACTGTCCTATTCAATTGTAGAAAATTATTTGGCACATAGGTGTTCAAATATTTGAGTGAAAATTGTTGTTCCTGTCCTCCAATGTAGGAAGAGGATTTAGGAGTGCCTTTACCTCTTTAAAGAGGAAGCAGAAGTATATATATATATAGCACAGAAGTATATAAGTTTATATATAGCATCCCTGGACTGTTTCTCCACATGCATTTGGGAGACCCCACAATCCCTGTTCTCTCCAGTCCTTCAACAGCGACCCCTGCATACCACCTACAACACACCAGCATAACACTGATCAGAGCACTTATATATATGTATATATAAATAATCCCTAAATTTGGGGGGCCCATCTTTTTAAATATAAAAGAACTACCTTTAGAAAATCCATTCTAATGAATGGAATAACCATGGCTCAAGGGATTACTGGTACTGATAACCCCCTTGTATGAATGCAGCATTCCTGCCCACCCACAGAAGGGTATGCAAGTAACTCAAGATTGGATACAGTAAAGGCAGCCAAAAAGGGAGTTCCAGAGCAGTAGTTCACTGTGAAAGAACTTTTAACAGTAATAAAACCAGGAGAGAAATAGCAAGACATGTTTGTAACTTTTTTAACTACTCCTCTTTCATATTTGCTTCTTTGCGCCACAGAAAGTTAGGAGCAACAGACAGCAATATGGCCTCAACAAGTTCTCTTGACCATTTGGGGCCTCAGCATCCTCATTTGTCAAATGATAGGGTTGAATACATCACTGTTTTCCAACTGCAGCATCTTAAAAAGGCCTAAAAAAATACATTTCAAGACTGATAAGCCTATCAGACTATCATCCTTAAAGATAGAGTTTTCAAACAAACCTATTTTCTACAATGGACTGTATAGCCAACTGTGTGGCCCATGGAAAGTTAAGCTATCTATGTGTATATGTAAGTTTGCGTTGTTGTATGTTAAAAGCACAGAGGGAGCTATCCCAGTTATTCCAGACAGACTGAAGACCGAGGTCCCAGTCACAGCTCAAGCACCTGGCCCCTTCCAGTCAAGGTTTTTCCTTTAAGAGAGGTCATGTATCATGGAGGATGTTGGAAAATGCAAGGCAAATAAGTCATCCTGTCTCTACGACAAACTGGCCATCACCTTACCAAGCCCCATGGATAGTCCATATCTAAATCCTTCTTCCTCACCAGTAATGAACTCCGGTATTAAAATTAGTAACCTGATTAACTCTGATATTTGCTTTTAACAGTGAGCAACTTGCAGTGTATACACCTCCTTGAGAACAGTGGAAGATCAAAGAATTTTTCTTATAACCTGCAATCAGCTACTCAATCAAAACCCAAAATAAAGCCTCGACCACCTCTGGAGGAAGACTGTTTCCGGCGTAGCTGGAATAGCTAGTGCAGAGTTCTGATTCTCTGCTGATTATGTTTTACATCTTGAGACAATATTAATCCTCATGCCTGAAGCCTTAGTGGCCTGAAAACGTGGTAACAACTGAATGACCATATCCAGATGTTCTCTCTTCTTCTTTAGCCTGTGCTACAAGGACCACAGTACACTGTGCCTGTGGAAAGCTTCCTGGCTGTCTACCTTCCATTCAGGCAGTACGGCTATAAAGTAGAACTTATAATTAACAGTAAAGTCTAAGTAAAACTCGTAACATGAGCACTAACATGAGATTTCTGCCAGCCAGCTGGGGCAGCCTTGGGTTTTTGGCCCTGGTAAAGAACCTAGATGAGATGGGTGGGGAGGAGCCTGTTATATAGCAGCCATCTTCTTCATTTCACTACTTTTCTCCAGTCTAATCTTATTCCAACATTATCAGTTTTAAATTTTAGACCAGAATCATGACCCAGAATTTACATTTAAGAATTGTTAAGACAAGTGGCACCTGGGTGGCTCTGTCGGTTAAGCGTCTGCCTTCAGCTGAGGTCATGATCTCCGGTACCTGCATTGGGCTCCATACTCAGGGGGGAGTCTGCTGGAGATTCTCTCCTCTTCCCTCTAGCCCTTCCCCTCCCGCCACCCACTCTCTCTCTCTCTAAAATATAAAAATCTTGGGGCACCTGGGTGACTCAGTCAGTTAAGCGTTTGCCTTTTGCTCGAGTCATGATCTCCAAGTCCAGGGATCGAGCCCCTTGTCAGGCTCCTGCTCAGCAGGGAGTCTGTCCCTCTCCCACTCCCCCTGCTTGTGCTGTCAAAAAAAACAAAACAAAAAAAAACTGTAAGACAGTAATAGGCACTCTGTTGATTCCTTCCATTTTACAGTTCCCGTGTTAGCCTCTGAAGGCCTCGGGTTGCTGCTGAGCACCAGCAGCAGTATCACAGCAGTGAGAAATCAACTGGGGAGGTTTACAGACCAGACCATTCATGCATAAGGTACCATTTCAGGCCTTACCATTTTCTTGTATTTTCTGCCTGACCTGTACAGGTGAGCAATCTTGTCAGAATGCCATTCCTACTGGCTGGGAAAACTGTCCTAAAACTACACACATTTTAACTCTAAGAACACCTGGCATAAATACAATCCAGTGATCGTAGGCTTTTTCACATTTTTAAGAGCAAAGTTACTGTAGGAATGTAAACAGCAGGATGAAACAGTGACATATTAGGCTCAAATATTTCTAGGACCACTTCCATTTTAAAATTACTGCCACCCCTGTCCTGACAGTAAGAGATAAGAAGCAATAAAGTGTTAACAATTAGCAAACTGTAAAAAATTAAGGTAATTATTTCATAGTTATGAAAATAATGAATACAGTTGACCCTTGAACAACCAGGTTTGTGTTGATCCACTGAACGTGGTTTTTTTTTTCAATAAATACATATGGTATCGATAAATACAGCCGTAGTACTGCAAATGTGTTCTTTTCTCTAGCTTGCTTTATTTTAAGAATTAGAATCTAATACATATAACAAAATATGTGTAAACTGATTATCAGTAAGGCTTCTGGTCAACAGTAGGATATTGGTAGTAAAGATTTGGGGGAATCAAATTTTATACATGGATTTTTTGACCAGGGTGGGGGGTGGGTGTCGGTACCCCCTAACCCTCCCCCAGCATTGTACAAGGGTCAATAAAATTGCTATCTAGCTTGTAATTTTAAAAGAACTATAACGGATCATTAGTAGACAGTACTTTTAAAAGAATTAACTAGATCAAACCAAGTACCATAGGTATAGGAAAACCCCAAACAACTGTAGCACTATCTTGAAATCTTGCTCCTGCATAGAGGGATAGAAAACTGCTGTACATAAAAGGACTCCATAGTGAGAAGCTGAATGTCACGATGGATAAGGGCAACTGTTCCCAAATAAAAAAACTGGTTTCTGTTGCTGTCTGAATGAACTGGAGCTGAGACTACACAAAGATTCTGCTACTTTCTTGGCACATAAAATAGAAGGTACTATATTATCACTTTGTATTTTGTAAATATTTAGTTCCTATGAAATGCAAAATACACTAACCACCTGTAACCAAGTATCATGTACTAGTCCAAGAAGCCAGCCTGTTTTCCTACCTTAGTGCAAAGGAAGGTTCATAAACAACTACTTTAAAAGTTCAGCTTTAATGACAAACATTACATCAGTCTCTCTTCAAAATTAGATGTGAATAAACAATTGCAAACAGGAGGTACCACGAAGCCTCTTACTGTACTCAATAGACTGTACTCAGTGCACTGGGCCCCTGGGGATGGCCAGTGATATACACATTGAAGCAATAATGTAAGTCTGTGAGCCATTGTTCCTGAATACCTCCACTCTTCAATGTCTGCAGAGAAAAACAAGAGTAATTTGAGAATTGTATCAAAATTGTTATGCTATCTGACAGTATTTTTCAAACCCAAATGAGATCTCAGAACCACTGCACCTCATCTTCCATCTATACATCACCATAGGAAATCTTATTGGAAATGGAGATTTCTTAATTGGGCACTGGCAGTGAAAATTCCTAGTCACACCCCCAAGTACAAGCAGTACACCAGTTTCTGGTTTCATCTGTTCCCTCTCAAATACTGATAGGAACTAAAGAAATTTCACCATCAACCATCTCTACACTCTGGACTTCCTCCCCTTGGCATGGCAAGGTCTCAGAATCTTTGCACTAACATCAACTGAGAAAAATTCTACAAGGCCGACTGACAATTTCTGTCATTCTCTTCCTACAGAGGTGGGCTAATTCTCCAACCTCAGAATAATCCAAATTCTTGACTGTTCTTCCCTTCTATTTCTGAATTACTCTGTTGCCTCTTCCATTACTTCTAGAAGGCTACTGAGAAAATTCAGAACAAGAACCTGTGTTATATATATCTAGTTAAGTTCTATTACTCTGAAGTATTACTACATATATTAACTAATAAAGCCCCAAATACCTACATGAAAAAAACCTAACTCTTCCAAACCAAAAACACTAAAGGAATCCTAGAGATGCCCCTGCAAACACAGAACCAACCATTAGACAAAGCTGAAACCTACAATTTCACAACTCCTTACAGTGAACTAAGTGATTAGAAATTGGTTGTAGTTTATTCCTGCTAAATAATTTTTTTAATGACAGCTAACATTTGTTGAGAACTTAATGTCAGTTACACTAAAAACTATACTTGAATGATCTCATTTTATGGTTACCAAAACTCAATGAGTTGGTATTTACAGCTAGGTAAAATAACTGACAGGTTTAAAAACCATGCCAAACTATCACAGTTAATCAGAATCCTGATAAGAGTGACTCTGATGCCTGTACCTCTTCTAACTAAGCTGCCTGCCACCTTAATTCAATTTGACTACTTTATGGCTTTTATTACAGACCCTAGATCAAAGACCTCCCCCTGGTTAAGTGGCAGGTGCTAGTCATCAGGGGAAGCTCTGGGAAATCACCAAAGTGGGCTTAATTCCAGGAGTCAGTCAATGCACAGGAGACCTAGCCTCCCAAGAGCAACACCTCATGCCCTGCCCAGGAATCCTTTTTCTAGTACTAATAGTAGTACAAAGCCCTGTTCCACACTTCTTACCGTGATATTCTTGATGATCTGCTGCACCAAGATGGCATTGGTTAACATATGAGTCCTGAGGGGTGCATGCTGAAGCAGCAGGCGAAGCAGCTGGCCCACAACAGGCAGCTCCTCAGGCCCAGCTCTGTTCACCCGCAGGCTCTGCAGCATCAACCTGAGGACTCGAGGCAGGAGAGCCAGGATGGAGACACAGACCCCCCACAGCTTGTCCCTACAACAACAGACAAAAATGAGTCAGAGAACCAACACACACAGAAAAAGTACTCTTTCCGTATTTCCTAAAACTGAGAAATGTCCTTTTAAGAAATGTGGCTCAGTCATTAAGCATCTGCCTTCAGCTCAGGTCATGATCCCGGGGTCCTGGGATCGAGCCCTGCATCGGGCTCCCTGCTCTGCGGGAAACCTGCTTCTCCCTCTCCCACTCCCCCTGCTTATGTTCCCTCTCTCGCTGTCTCTCTCTGTCAAATAAATAAAATCTTTTAAAAAAATAAGTAAAAATTAAAAAAAAAAAAACCTGGTGTTTTCTGATAAAACTCCACAAATCAAAACTAGTAACTGGGTTTCATCAGAGCTAATTTTAAGCAAATCCAATGAAGAACCAGGTGCTCTCCCCCAATTGAATGAGTTCTAGGAAGCCTAGCAATCAGCACTTTCCCGGGCTTAACAGGATATTCTTGAAGCCCTGGTGATCATATAGAACAGAGAATTAGCCAAGGAACAGAATAATCTATATATGCATACTGTTCTCTACCACTGAACATTATTCAACTATTATACAACATCAATAATCAAGAGTAAGACTATCCCACTGATAAAAAGAAAAAAAAAAAATGGGTGCCTGGCTCAGTCAGTAGAGCATGCGACTCAATCTCAGGGTCTTGAGTTCGAGCCCCATGATGGGGTTAGAGTTTACATTAAACAACAACAGGGGCACCTAGATGGCTCAGTTGGTTAAGTGTACAACTCTTGGTTTCGGCTCAGGCCATGATCTCAGGGTTGTGCGACTGAGCCCCACACTGGGCTCCATACTTAGCTCACGGAGTCTGAGATTCTTTCCCCCTCCCACTGCTCTCAAGTGTGCTCTCTCGCGTGCTCTAAAATAAAATCTTAAAAAAAAAAAAAAAAAACATACAAAACAACAAAACTTCACGAAACTTTAAGACTGTGACTTGAATTCTGAGCCTCTTCAATGTTTTAAAGTGGGCAGATTTGTGGAGAAAGGTGCTCACAAGGAAACAAAATAGATTTCTGAAAGGAGCCAGTTAGGGGACTGTTACTGCATTACTAGGTCATGAAAGGCCAGAAATAATAAATCCAAATTTTAGTAAGCATCATTCTCTTGGTATTGTTATAGAGCAGGAACAAAAATGTTTTATGATAAAGGTAGGTGGACTTGCAGCT